AAAGCATTGTAAACCCTTCCCACACTTGCAATATTCTAAACACTGTTTCTAAACTCTAAAGAACGCAGAATGCCATGACTTCAGCTCTCTGACATCTGCCAGCACTCTCGGCCACGCCCACTTCTCTGCATCAGAGCGGAGATATGACACCTGCAGGAGGAAGCTTCTGCAGTGTGGGCTGCACACAGGTGCAGCAGGTGATAAATAATTTAAAATTCATTTAAAATAAAAATTCCATGCCAATCGTGCAGCTCATCCATCAGTCAGACAGTTGTGTGTCATGTCCAATCTTACTTTGAAAAACTGCGATAGAGCGAGTCCGCGAAAAACGAACTGCGAAGTAGCGAGGTACTATATCTATATATTTACAGCTGCCACAGCCAACTGAATATGAGAATCCCAAAAAAGGTTATAACTCGTCAATTTTACAGATATTAAGAGAATATTTGTCGTGGTAGAAGCTGAGGGTGATTACTAGCAGCTCTATACAGTATTCAAAAAAATTTTTTGCTTAAAAGTTTGGCGTTACCTGTTGCTGTCAACCCTGTTTCTGCAGAAAATGTGATGAACTACTAGACAAATATTAATAAAACTTCCATTACAGGTATTGTGTTACCGGTTACAGGCATTGTGCTAAAACTTGTAGTTGCTGAGAGTCATTCCCAGCAGATACTCTGAGATCATTGTTGGCATGTGACATCATTTACAAGGTTTGACCTCAACGACTAACTCTTTTTCTCATCAAAATACAGCTGTTCATGAGAGGAATGCTAGGCCTTTAATTTGCTCATAAATTTGCCACAGAATTAAAAAAAAATCTTCATTTACAGAATCTCAGCAGATTAAAATTAAGCCCAGATTTACTGTATGGTTAAAAAGCGCCTGTCACAAAGCCAGTTCCAATTTCAGCTTTCATCTATCTGCGTTCATTATCCACTCGCAGCACTAAATTAGAAGCTAACTCTTACTGATGCTTATTTTTGTGGGGGGATAATTCTCCAAGTGTAAAATTCAGGGACGGGAGTTTTTTAAAGCACACAAGGTGATTTAGTAAAGTTTGTGCTCACAAGTCATTCCCAGTTTCAACTTTATTTTCTGCCAAGAAAAAAAACGCATCCTCGTTTTTTTCTGCACCAAGCATGCAAAGGTGCTGCCCAGCTCTAAAGAGAGGAGAACATGTGTCTCCATTTCTGCAAATGTTCTGTATTTGAAATGCAAAAAGGTGTTACCAGAACATCTGCCAGCTCAGGTGATTCTCAATTTAGGACAGTGTAAGAAAAAAAAAACCAACTAACTGGAATTTAACAAAAAGGAGTTTGTTCAGCAAATCCTGAGACAAAAGCTGCAGCTCTTTGTTTTTGTTTTTTGTCTGTGTGTGTGTGAGAATATGCTATAATTTATGCCATTTTCATTTGATTTGTGGAGCGCAGAGAATCTTACTAAATGGTGAGGATGCAGTGATGCACTGCAGGTTTGTATTGACTCGCCTCCTGGAGTATTACCTGTGTAGAGACAGGCTTTTATTTATTCAGGCATTAAAGAAGCTTTAGATACGTACTCTGTTTGATCCTGAAACATATAAAACCTGAGAATTACTGAGCTGAAAAGTGAAATTGATTTATGAGAATGGAGGAATTGCATTTCCTGCATTATGAATGCTTATTGCAGAAGAACATGCTGAAATACAGCTGAAATTAGCAAAACAACAAAACAAAACAAAAATGCTGAAATGTAGCTGAAGTAAAAGAACAAGCCTAAATTAGCAGAAGAAAGCAGAAAAACAGATATTGCTGAATTAGGTTTAAATAGGTATAAATGAGCACAAAAATTAGGAAATTAGCGAAAAAAAGCTGAAATTAGCAAAAAAACAGCTGAAAATAGCTGAAAAGGCAGAAAGAAGCTTAAACTAGGAAGTGGAAAGAGCTAAAATTAACTAAAAAGTGTGGACTTACACAAAAAGCATAACAAGCTGAAATTAGCAGAAATAAGTTAATTTGTCTGAAAGTAGCAGAAATTTCCAAGAAAAACTTGAATTTATCTTAAAACTGCTGAAATGAGCTAAAAATGCTAAAAAGCTAGCTGAAAAAATTAGAACAAACTTAAACTAGCAGAAGAAAGCAGAATGAACATGTTTGCCCAATTAGATTGAAATATGCAGAAATGAGCACAAAAAAGTGAAAATTATCTGAAAAAAGCTAAAATTAAGAGAAAAAAAAACAGCTAAAACATAGTTAAAAAGAAGAAAGAAGCTTAAATTACCAGAAGGAAGTGCAGAGAGCACATTTTTTGCTGAATTAGGCTTAAAAAAGTTGAATTGAGTGCAAAACATGAGGGATTAGCCGAAAAAGCTAAAATTAGCATGAAAACAGCTAAATAGTAGCTGAAATAGCAGAAAAAGTTGAAATAAGCTGAATGGAACATAACAAGCTGAAAATAGCAGAAAGGTGTTAGAAGAAGCACAAAAATGTAGCTAGCCAAAAGAATCTGAAAGGAGCACAAATCAGCTGAAAAAACAACTGAAATTAGCTGAAAGTAGCTGAAAAAAGTTTAAATTTTCACAAGGAAGCTGAAAGAAGCTGAAGCAGAACAAAATGTGAAAGGAGTAGTAAATGGTTGTAAACAGATCTAAAGATCTGAATGATGTAAAATGAGCTCAATTCATTTTCTATGAGAACAAAAATGTCAGAAAGGCTAAATATTTCAAAAAAGCTAAAGTTGCACCAATACCAAAAGTCATAGCAGGATTGTCCTGAAAGAGTTGAACTTGTTGAAATAGCACAAAAATTATGGAACGAGAAAGATGCAGAAAAATGTACAGACGAAAAATGGATCACAATAGTTTGACTGCTTCATTAGCGTTCACACTAATATCAGAGTAGACCAGAAACAACTGTGTTTGTTTTAGTGCGAGACAACAAACACGTCTCAATACTGGAATCTGTTTCATGGCTCTGAAACCTGAGCTTTATATATTTAGGAACAAGCTGCAGCTTGTTGTTGTTTATATTCAACCCAACAAGTCAACCTACTGTATGTTTTCAGAGGGTATAAACATTTTTGAAATATTGGCTGAAAAGTTTTATTTATTTTTTGTTTTAAATTAATGAAGCATTGTTTCAAGGAGCTGTAGAGGTACCAACAAATCCCTTTATGTCTGTATGTGTTTCTGCATGCAACCATTTCCTGTGAAATGTTGAGACCAAGGACAGGCATGGCTAGCAGCAGCATTGTAGGTAAGAATGAGAGAGACCCACCTTGCCTAGCTGCAGGTCGGAAATGGAGCAGGCGTCGATAAAAGCCTGAGCGATGACAGACAGACAGGCGTCCATGTGATCCGTCTTATCGATGTCAAACACAAACTGAGGGTTCTTCAGGATGTTCACCCAGAAACGCAGCGGTAAACTGCACAGACAGGGTGAGGCATAAATGACTCGCACAGTGACGGCTGACCAGAGACTTCTGTCGTAACATTTATTTAACTACCTATTAGTTTTCCAGATGTGCAGGGTGTCTGGGTCGGTGATGCCCCGTTTGTCAGCCTGCTCCTCGAGGAAGTCAAAAAAGTATTTCACAGCTAGAGGCGGGCGGTCCGGAGGAATGCTGAGGATGGCCTGAAACAGGTCATCTAAGAACTTCTGAAGAGTTCCCTGCAGAGGAAACCAACACAAACAAATCAGGCCTAGTTTTGATGAGATGCAGGAGTTTCTGTGCAGTTCCTGAAAACTCTTGACAGGAAGATGAACGGTGTTTAGACTTGACGCTGTTGTGAAGACAACACGAGCAGCCTCCTGTTTCTGGTTACCTTCGTGGACAGCAGGCGTGTCAGATAGATCTCTGGCAGAACTTTCTTGCGGTGGCTGTGTCTGTGGGACTTCTTGGTCTCTATTAGCTCATCATGAGGTAGAACCTGGAGGGTCAAAGGTCAATGTTACTGCACACAGGTCAAAGCGATGAACCCTAGCATGAGTTTAAGTAAAGTTCCTGCTGTTTCTGCTGGATGAGGATTATGCACGTGACCTACATACATCATCAGCATATTGTAAAACTCTTTGTAACAAACAGCATTTAGGAAGTGGGAGATTTGCAGGGTTTCTATGAGCTCGTTAGTGTCACTGACTTTCTCATACAGGTCCAAACTGAGACGGGGAGAAGAAAGGAGCAAAATCCACCTACTGTGCTCCAGGTTTGTCCAGAACTGTCCTGCAAAACTAACTATTCACCCGGCAAATTGTATTCCAGGAAACTCATTATTCTAAAGTCAAAAGGGCCCGTATCTCAGCTGACGTTTATGAAGGAGCTTAAGCAGCATTAGTGCTGTCATGTCCTCTCAGCAGCTTTCCTCCTCACCTCCTTTCACCCCCCCCAGTCTCAATTCATCAGGCCTGCTCTGAGCTGACTTGCTGTGGCACACAGGAAAAGCTCTGCTAATGCATTAAAGAATAGGAAACAAACTCACCAAGTGCACATATTTCTCTGTATCCAAATCTTTAACTGAAAATAGACCAAAAAATATATATAGCATTAAACACTGTGTAATTAGAGCTGAGACAAAGAGGAAAAGGAGGTGGGAGGAGGATGCTCCAAGAGTGATGGTGAGGAAAAGAAAAAGATTGACAGGAGAGCAAAGGAGATAGGGTGCAAAGGAGAAAGAGATTAGGACGGACTGAGAGCCTGAAGGAGACGAGAGCTGCCTGAGAGAATGAAAGAGAAAGATTACGAGTGAAAGGAGGGAGAAAAGAGGAAGATTAGGGGAGACAGACACACAAAGTCTGCGACTGGTTGTGGAGCCGCTGTAATGAGATGGTAATTCTCGGCCAACGCTGGGAACAAAAGCAATGGAGCTAGCTGGTTTATATATAGATCTAAACACAAACATTCTCATGCACACATGCACAAACGGAAAGGAGTGTGAGGACGACTGTCGACTCATGTTCCAACAGGAGTACAAACACAAGCCCGAAAGGCAAATTTGGAAAAATTGTCGTGAATGCCGCAGTTACAACAAAAGACGAGCATATGTACAGATATACACACAGTGCAAGTGTATTCTCATTATAGCCCACTCTGCCAGGGACGCTTCGGTCCAGCAGGCCACAGTCCAGACCCTCAGCACTGATCACAGGCAGCCAGGACACTGTTTCATATTAGCCAGGGAGCACTATAAGCTCATAACACCCTCACCACCCAAAACCCCCCTTGACGCTTTGAAGCAGCAGCCAGGTTTGGGGCTCTCCAGCCTGTTTTTGGCACGGTGTGAATGAGCGAAGCAGCTCTGATGGACGCTGTCCGAGCAGAAACCAGTTCTGCCGGTGCTGATTATGTAAGGTGGATCCTTGACGGCAAACAGGAGCCCATTAAAGGTTGAGTGTAAACTCATCTGTCAACAGTCACAGCTGGGTTGGTGCTGGACAACGAGCCAACTCGTGTCACATTTTTCCCCATGAGCTGACACCCACTAATGGAATACATCTACAACATGGAAAGGAGAGCTTTGGTCATTATCCTGAGTCTGTGTTGGGATTTATTGGAGGCAGGTGGATATTTCAGGGCTGCTTGAATGTATATGTGAGCAGATTGAGTTCTTGTGGTGTTTCCTGTCACTGTGGGTGCGTGCATGTTTGGGTGAAGGTGCATGACAAAGCGGCATAGGGTGGGCGCGTCTGAAAAACACTTACCTCTATTCAAGGTGTTTTCTTTCATGTCTTTCATGCTCATGGCCATCGATGCTCCCTCTGGGACCTGAGAAAAAGGAGCGGAGGAAGGAAGAGGAAGGGAAGAAAGGTGGGGGACACCAAAGGACACTGGGGTTAAAGGTGAGCTTCAGTGCACCAAAACATTGTCTTTATTGCATTCCTCGAGGGGGGAGTTCTGCTCAGTGTGTGTGTGACTGCTGGTGGCTAGTTTGCAGGGGTCTAACTCGGCTCATTACAGTCAACCTGCGGTGAAATGGATTGAACAGCCTCGCCAGTGAACCCAGACTGTTGGTACACGCTTCGGCTCGCTGCTTTCACAGCTCTGTTCCAGAAGCTCCACAAAAATCAAAACTCCACAGGGTACTTAACAGGTAACAGGTCAAAGGTCAAGAGTCACAGCATGTTTGTTTACTCACACATAAATCAGGGCAGACAAGCAAACAGACATCAACAATGTTGATGGCAGAGCGCCCAAATTTAGATGCTTTGTCTATGTTTTAATACTACATATATGTACATATATATTTATATATAAGTATATTTACCATATTTTTTCGGCCTATAAGTCAGTTTTTTGCTTAATTTGCGTGTCCTGCAATTTATTTATGAATTTTTCTCATATTTCTAAAACATTTATTGGCTGAGATATGACCGTTTTCATTCATTCTGACTGAAAATATTGGACACTACCATTTTCAGCCGCTAGATGGCACTCGAGTAGTATGGCATGCCGTTGTGTCATGTAATAGATAAAAGTGGCTATTAATGACACAATCGGCTTGCCATAGTGGCCACCTTTGTCCAGCTCGCTTGGAGCAACCGTCAAATCAGCTTCATTTCATTGCGCCGCCCCATCAAATGCAGCTAATTTGATCATTAAAGTTCATTTATTAAGTAAAAGTTCAACTGAGACACACCTTTACTATAAAGTCAAGCAAACAAATAATTGTGTTTAGGTGGTTAGCTTGTTAAATTACGAAGAACTGCACAGCGAGTCGTCCCTCTGTGCGCTTCTACTTCCACGTATCGGGTTTTGAAATACAGCTGATTTGACCATCAAAGTGCATTTATTAAGGAAAAGTTAGACTGAGACACACCTTTGCTATTATTTTAAGCAAACAAATAATTATTTTCAAGTGTTAATCTTGTTAAATTCTTGTTAAAGTCCTCCTGTGCACGCTCCCTTGGCCGCCATTTGGCAGCCAATCAATTTTTGGCACAACATCAACCCACATTTCCGGGTTGTCAGCGGTGACGCGGAACAAACGCGACGCGGAACAAACGCGACGCGGAACAAACGCGACGCAAAATAGATGCGACGTGTATGGCGAAGCGACATATTATGGGTTTTTCCATTTTATTAGACATTTTTGAACTGATGCCACTTATAGGGCGGTGCAACACATACAGCCAAAAATACGGTACATATTTATATTTGGTCAGATTTTACACATAAGACCTCCAGTGTTAATTCCAGGAGTGTTGTCGTAAATGACTCTCAGCCAACACCCTGTCAAATTTTAACTCATTATCTTCAAAATAGTCAAAGTACAGTAAAGCCATTTTTTGTGTTGGCTAAGGTTGATTAGCTATGGCAGCCATCTTGTTCTGGGTTGACTCCAGAAGTTAAAGTAAAGCAAAGTAAAGTGCTATGTGTTGTCATCATTGTTCCCATGCAATGATGAAATTGGTTTTCTGCATCTAACCCATCACACCTGAGATGCACCCAGGTGGAGCAGTGGGCAGCTGTAGGCGCCCGGGGAGCAATTAGAGATTAGATGTCTTGCGCAGAGACACCATGACATGTGGGAATGGCTGGGGATCGAACCTGGGACTTTCGTGTCCTGAGTCGGCTGCCCTGCTTCTACCTCATGTCAGTCAGTTGTAGCTGCAGATTCAGTGGTTCCATTCTGAGTTTCCGTACAATTTAACCAGTGGCTCGTGAGATATTTTGCTAACTTTCAGATAAAAGTACATACAAACTAAGAGGAAAACATTTTCACCTGCCTTTCACCTTTGAGTGGCAGGCAATAAAAATTAATTGAAAATCGTCATATTGACATAAAGTACAAAATCAGATAATTTTAAAGATATTTTTGGCTAATTAATAAAACAAAGCTTTGGTTGGGCAAAGCTTAGCATTTTTTAGGCTCGGAAACCATTTTCTAAATATGTCCAAATATAACAGTCATTAAACCTGGGAAATAATCTTCAGATCTGTCTAAAATTAATTTAATCATTAGTCACAGCCTGATATTTAGAGCTGCTCTGTGCTTCTATCATTTAATACACAAAATACTCCCTCACAAAACCAGTAAAACATGTAAATGAGAGGTGTCTCTGCTCAGAGCCATTAGTACAGCAGATACTCATTTTGAGTAGTTTACAATTCACATTTTGTTTAGTAAAGGTCCCGCCTTTTGCAAAATCACAAAAAGATTAGTAATAATAGCTTGACTAATTATGTAAAATAAAATTTGGGTTTACGTCTTTTCCAGTCAGACTGGACATCCTCAACTCTCAGATCACACAAGATCTTTAATGAATCTCTGACATGTGAGGCAGTGGGCAACAGGCATTACTTCAACAACTACTTTTTCATTTATCATGTAGCTCATATATATCTCCTAAAAATATATTTTGCTTGAAAAAAAAACAAAAAAAACATCAGACCATTTTTCACAAACAAAAAGACATTTGCAGTCAGACTCATTAAGTTTGCAGAGTAACTTCAAACATCTTACATTAATGAGATTCAGAACTCCAACAGTTAATTGGATAAAATAATCCCCCTCCAACACACACACTCACACACACACATGGAAGTGTGTGTTTGTAGTAGCGTTTGTTCAATGGTTGACCTTCACTGTGTAAAATGATTTACATACAGTATGTGCCGAGTTTGTTTTTACTTTATCTGCGGGAAATAAAGGAGAATTTATCTCTGAGGAACTTCAGATTTAACAAGTCACAACTACAACTTCCTGAGAGCCATTTGCAGTGAAGTGAGGAACACAACAAAACATGAAGGTCAGGTTTAATTTCCCAGGGTTCATAGCAGGTAGTCGGGAGCAGGAAACGCCCTCTTTACATCAAGTATGCTGCCCTTTAAACATGAACTTTTACAAAACCTGTGGGCACTTTTCACGTCCTGTGAGGCTGAATAAACTCTGAAAACATAACTCTGAGCTTAAAATGTTGTGAAAATCATTTACAAGATCAATCAACGAGAACCTAACCCAAAAAAGACTCGACCAGGATTTATCAACAATCTTCTAGAGCAGTCGTCTTCAGTTAAAATTCAATGAGGCTTGCTTAATTTTTAATTTCTGTTTTTATACTCCATGGATCACAAGCAAATTAATTAAATACATTTATAATTATTTTATAACAAGTACACATTTATTTCTACACACAGGACCGGGCCATCCCACGGTAAATAAAGGCTATCGTAATGTCAATCAGTGTTGCTCCTAAAGGTTTGAGAAAAAGATTGCAAGTAAATTTAACTACAGTTCCATATAGGACAGGGGCCAGCAACCTGCGGCTCTGGGGTCACATGTGGCTCTTTGGTTCCTCTGCAGCAGCTCTTTCAGGCTTTGACCAAATCTAAAATAAAACTGACTTTTATTTAAGTTACTGTCAACAATAAAAAAATAAGCAGATTTTCTGTCATTTTCAAATACAAACCGGATTCCAAAAAAGTTGGGACACTAAACAAATTGTGAATAAAAACTGAATGCAATGATGTGGAGATGGCAAATGTCAACATTTTATTCGTAGTATAACATAGATGACAGATCAAAAGTTTAATCTGAGTAAATGTAACATTTTAAAGGAAAAATATGTTGATTCAAAATTTCACAGTGTCAACAAATCCCAAAAAAGTTGGGACAAGTAGCAATAAGTGGCTGGAAAAAGGAAATTGAGCATATAACTAACAGCTGGAAGACCAATTAACACTAATTAGGTCAATTGACAACATGATTGGGTATAAAAAGAGCTTCTCAGAGTGCCAGTGTCTCTCAGAAGCCAAGATGGTAAGAGGATCACCAATTCCACCATTGTTGCGCAGAAAGATAGTGCAGCAATACCAGAATGGTGTTACCCAGCGTAAAATAGCAAAGACTTTTAAGTTATCATCATCAACCGTGCATAACATCATCAAAAGATTCAGAGAATCTGGAACAATTGCTGTGCGTAAGAGTCAAGGCTGTAAAACCCTACTGGATGCTCGTGATCTCCGGGCCCTTAAACGTCACTGCACCTCAAACAGGAATGCCACTGTCAAGAAAATAACAGAATGGGCTCAGGAATACTTCCAGAAAGCATTGTCAGTGAACACAATCCACCGTGCCATCCGCCGTTGCCAGCTGAAACTCTACAGTGCAAAGAGGAAGCCATTTCTAAGCAAGCTCCACAAGCTCAGATGTTTGCTCTGGGCCAGGGGTCATTTAAAATGGAGTGTGGCAAAATGGAAGACTTTTCTGTGGTCAGATGAGTTACGATTTGAAGTTCTTTATGGAACACTGGGACGTCATGTCATCCGGACCAGAGAGGATAAGGATAGCCCAAGTTGTTATCAACGCTCCGTTCAGAAGCCTGCATCACTGATGGTATGGGGTTGCATGAGCGCTTGTGGCATGGGCAGCTTGCATGTCTGGAAAGGCACCATTAATGCAGAGAACTATGTTCAGGTTCTAGAACAACATATGCTCCCATCTAGACGTCATCTCTTTCAGGGAAGACCCTGCATTTTTCAACACGATAATGCCAGACCACATTCTGCAGCAATCACAACATCATGGCTACGTAGGAGAAGGATCCGGGTACTGAAATGTCCAGCCTGCAGTCCAGATCTTTCACCTATAGAGAACATTTGGCGCATCATAAAGAGGAAGGTGCGACAAAGAAGGCCCAAGACGATTGAACAGTTAGAGGCCTGTATTAGACATGAATGGGAGAGCATTCCTATTTCTAAACTTGAGAAACTGGTCTCCTCTGTCCCCAGACATCTGTTGAGTGTTGTAAAAAGAAGAGGGGATGCCACACAGTGGTAAAAATGGACTTGTCCCAACTTTTTTGGGATTTGTTGACGCCATGAAATTTGGAAATAACAGATTTTTCCCTTAAAATGATACATTCTCTCAGTTTAAATTTTTGATCTGTGATTTGTGTTCTATTCTGAATAAAAGATTAGATGCTGGCACCTCCACATCATTGCATTCAGTTTTTATTCACAATTTGTTTAGTGTCCCAACTTTTTTGGAATCTGGTTTGTATGTGAAGAATAGTACAAATACATGGCATTAAACATGTGGACTACATCACGCTAATAGTTTGTTAGCCACTTTAAGATGACTTCGTGTCTCTCAGCGCCTTTCTCTCAAAACCACCAGAATGTTTTGGAATATCTTTAAGACAAGTTACTGAGAAGGAATATGAAGAGTAACTTTGATAGCACTAAGAATAAAACATAAAAAACAAAGTCAAAGTAAACTACAGTATTTATTTTTCTTTAAAAATGTATTTGGATACCCAACAAACTGGCCTAATTTTATACTGTCTTTAACTTTATGTTTTAAGTAGGAAACTTAATTCTTAAACAATTACGAGAACTCACATAAACCTGCAGAGTTAAGTTTTAATTTTTATTAAATTGTTAATAATTATGTAAAAATATTAATAGTTAGACATTTTTCATTTTATAAAATCACCCCCACTGGTCATTAAAGCCATCTCCAACAAACTTGTGGTCCATGGGCCACCAGTTGATGGTAAGCTGTTGTAGCAGGTTTTGCAGCTCTGGACATCATATAATTAGTAAGCAAAGTGGCATAAATGGCTCTTTTTATTGCAAAGGTTAGATCCCTGATATAGGACTCGTTTGGGTCTGGATATGGACCAGGGTCTGTTACTTGGGGACCCCTGCTCTAGAGCTTCGGCAGCAAATCATCCGTGGAAAAAAAGCTGCAAACAGTGTTATAAAAACACCCGTGACCTGCCAGTGACACCATTTACATGGAGGTCTGACCTTCAACACCCCTACTGCTCATTTAACACCACACACATACTCACACACACACACACACACACACACACACACACACCTGGTAATGGAAGACCGTGTTGAGTTTCTTTCGACCGTCCTCCATCACCGAGGAGTTGTCCAGGTCCTGCAGAAGCTTGCTGTTGCTGCCCGAGTCAAACCACTCTACAGGGGAGAAAATGAAGAGAGAAGGTGTTGGACGATTTCTTCTCAGATTTGGAGAAGAACAGACGAGACGAGCGGCAGCCGGGCTCTAACTCTGCCATGACCCGTGGAAATATTCCCAGGCCATTAATCAAATCAGCTCTGCAGGCTGCGCAGCCTCTGAAAGCAATAACTCTTTGTGATTATGACTGTACACTCTCCTCAAATGCATTCTGTCATTTATTATATTGCAGCCGCAGGTTAGTTGGGCTTCATGAGAAGAATTGACCTTTTGCAAAAGAGATTACTGTGTCTCAGAGGTTCGGGGATGGGGAGAGGATGAAAATAATCAGAGAAAACGTGTCCGTACCAAGGTCCACATCCTCTGCTCGAGGCCACTGGGAGAAAGGCAGATTTTTATAAAAGGCTTCGATTATTTTTTCTTTGACTTGGCAGATGGTGTCAGTATTCATGACTCTGACTGACAGAGAGTCCATGCCACAGCCCTGGAAGGACACGTTGATGTTCTGTAGAAGCAAAGTATGACACGGTTAAAAAGAAGCTTCGTGAAGCTGGTTTTAACTCAACCTGCACGTTTCACACTGATTGAGGATATTAAAGGTGATCTGGGAGAGTGTGAGGTGTCCGACCTGTGGCTTGGCCTCTACGTTCTCCCGCAGCAGCCACTCCTCGTTGAGGGTGTAGCGGGCCTTCCCCGTGATGGCGTCTATGGAGCCCTTGTTGATCTGCTGCTTGATTGCACAAAGCAGCAGGAAAAAAGGCTCACCCACCGTTTCCTGCAGAACAAGAAACTATTTAACCGGCATTCCTTGAAGGGAAACATACACGCCAGAGTTTTAGACTAAGACCATGTCATGCTAAGAAGAGAGGTTGTAGGCAAGCCTCGTAAATGACTTCATGCAACACTGTGATCTCCTGCGTGGTCTGTCGGTGCTTGAGGTATGTGTTAGGTAAGAGTCCCTGCAACAACAACAACAACTTTTACATCAATAAATGTAAAATTGTCTGTTACTGCCATTTTTATGTTGGCTAAAGTCAGTTAGCTGTGGTTTTCACTGGAACAGATGTACGGTAGTCCCTTGTTTATCGTGGGGGATCCGTACCCTGAAGACCTGCAATATGTGAAAAACCGAGAAGTAGGAACAGTAGTAGATGTAGTAAGTAGTAGTTTATTTTATATTATATTATATATATATATATATAGTCTTAGTCTAAAACTCTGGCG